TTCTGATATAATATCTTAACCTATGAAAAAAAATTATACAGAAGTTAAGAATTAACCTTACTGGTTATTACGAGTAGGAAGATCAGCAAATAGCACATCGACATCGTTAGCTCTCCCCACATTTGGGCTACCGGAGGAGCAGGGAATTGTCCTTCTGAAATGCAGAACTGCCCACTACCTCCAGGGGTTCATAAATTAGTTGCAAAAATCAAGCAAACAGACGTGAAACAAGTCATTGGGGGGGTTGGTTTCAATGTAGTGGAGAGAACAGTGGATTCAAAGAATGGAGTTTGGATCCCGGCTCTCCCAAGTCGGTGAAGCTCCGGGAACATCAGGGAACTCACCCAACCGCCACTGAGCAGGGTGCCAAAAGATGACAGGGGGAGAGCGGTCACACTGTGTTTTCACTAAGACTGAGTTCTGGTGGTGTAGTGGAGAAGGCATTTGGCTGCTAACTAGAAGGTCAGCAGTTCAAACCCACCAGCTGCTCTGGAAGGAAACCCAATGGGGGTCGCTGTGAGTCGGAACCGACTCGATGGCACTGAGTTTGGTTTTGGGAAGGTCCAGCCTGGCCAGGAAAGGGAACCAGAGAGGTGGTGGAGACATGTGAGGATGCCTGAAGGGAACGGGGATAGGTGACAGGAAGGAAGGGGCCGGGGGAGACTCCACCCAGAAGCTGGTCATGTGAACAACACCCAACACCTTTGTTGCACCCCAGGAACTTACTTAATAGGGAATTCTCCGTTTTGAAAACAGTTCTTCTTATTCCTAACCTCATCGATCCTCCCAAATTGCCAGGGTTGTGTTCAGGCATATCAATCACCTGTGGAAGGAAAAAAAAAAAAAAAAACAAGTCCCATTTTGCCAGCTTGTACAAAATTCATTTACCAAATTGTTTGACTTTGACAGGAATGCTCACTGGGTGAGGATGTGCCCCAAACAATAAAATCTGATAGTTTCAATTTTTCTGTTCAAGTATGTCTGTGGGCTATACATTCCGTACATTGTGCTCCCTGTCTGTTTCTGCTTCTCGTTCACATCACTGGGTTTGGTTTGTTTGTTTGTTTGTTTTGTTTTGTTTTTTAAATTCCTAACGCCAGGAGGAAGCTCTTAAAGGAGCATTTTTATGAGTTTCTTCCTGGCATTAGTCAACTTGTCAGGTCCAGGTGACGTTCACACTTCAAATTCTGTATTCATGTTTCTCCCACGAAACAACCTTATTCCCTAGAAAATTTCATAAGCCAATCTGTCAGTCCTTGTGGGAAAGTATACCAAAAGTACTATACTCATTTGTAGAAAACCATCAGACAGATTCACTTTTTAATAGGTAATACCATCCGTTCTAGCCTGTTCTACAGGCCAGACACCTAAGCGTCAACTTTGATCTGGCCTTATCCCTCATCCCTAATAACCAATCCATCAAATCCTCCCTGTTTACCCCTCCACAGCACTTGCATCCTTCTCCCTAGCTCCAACCACCAACCAAACCACTGGTAGTAGCTTACCAATTGGCCTCCCACCGTGGTTCACATGGCCCTGGCCCACCCTGTACAATGTCGGCAGAGTGTTTGGCAAACTGCAGATCTTACCATGTCATTCTTTCTTGGCTTTTGTTGTTGTTGTTATATGCCGTCGAGTCAGACCCGACTCATAGTGACCCCTCCTTGGGTTTCCGAGGCAGTATCACTACAGAAGTAGATTGCCCCCTCTTCCTTCCGAGGAGTGGCTAGTGGGTTTGAACTGCCAGCCTTCAGGTTAGCAGTCAAGTGCCTTAGCCACTATGCTAACAGAGCTCCTTTCTTAGAGCTCTTTCTTGGCTGGCCTCCCAAAAAGGCCTTGCATGGGGCCAGCCCAGACTAACCCTCCAGCCTCACTTCCCACTGCTCTTTCCTCATGCCCTGGCCTGGTCACCACGGCCTTCTTTCAGTTCCTTGGGTCATCTTTCCTTGCTGTTCCCTCTGCCTGGAATGTCTTCTCCCATTCCCCTGACCCTGGGTTTGAGGTCTCAGCTCAAATATCCCAGAGCCAGAGCCTGGTCAGGGTGTCAATCTCTGTCCTCACAGAACCAGGTTCTTCCTGGCCCTGGACTCTTCTGTTTGTGTCTGTCTGATCTTTGTGTGCTAGACTATAAACATTTGAGAGCTGCGGCAGAGTTTGCTTTTCCAATGAATCCCCAGCCCTTAGCATTTATGGAACTGGCACAAGGTAAGCACAGAATGTATGAGTGCATGAATGAACGAACAAGCAAACTCTGAAGAAATCGTTTCAGATTTATCTTTACAATTACTTCGCAGAAATTCAGGAACATGTGATTTTTATAAAAAGCTCATTCTCACCAGTTGTTGGTCTGTTTTCTCAGTTCTGTTTGCTATGATCTCATGGTTTCGTTTTTAAACTGTTAGAACAAACTATATAGTTCAGTGGCTTAACATGTGCTAATAAAATAACTCAAGCCGCCCTCTCGTAAACCCTCCTCCCCAACAGCCACATATTGGTCTATAGGAATCCTTGACAACTGGGTTTCCAAGAAAATGTTTGATCTTATCAGTGCCCTAGAAGAACTTCCGGAGTCATCTGAACTCAGTGCCCCAGGTACAATCCAAGAGTCGCTGGAGGGAAGGGGCAGAGACACAACTTGAATATGTCCCTGGTTGGATGGAGCATTCAATTCTGAAGTGCTCTTGGCCTTGGCATCTCTTCCCTATCGTCCTTGGTTGGCTAATTATGGCTAGATTAAATATTACTGGAATGAGGTGAGAGAGGACACAAGCTAGCTTCCAGCTTACAAAGCTGAGCTGTTTATAAACGCCTGGCCCCTCTATGTATTTTCTAAGGAAGGGCAGATAAGACTGCACTACCTGCCAGGGAGCTCTGGTGGCGTAGTGCCTAAGGCATTTGACTGCTAACCAGAAGGCTAGTGGTTCAAACCCACCAGCCACTCCTCAGAAGGAAGGTTGGGCAATCTACTATCCATAAGTGATACTGCCTCGGAAACCCAAGGAGGGGTCACTATGAGTCAGGCCCTACTTGATGGCAGTGAGTTTTGAGTTACCTGCCATGGACTCCTAAGACTTAGCCCTAAGTTTACTGCCCATCTCCACTTCCATTTAAGTTGAAGACAACCCGAACTATCTAGAAAGACCACAGCTTCAAAGTTGTGTGAAGATCACAATTTCTGTGTTAGAATTATACTGCCATTGTTTGGCCCACCCTTCCTGAGTGCGTTGGGTCCATCCACCCAATTAATTCACCAGGAAGTCTTTCAATGTAGTCTGTTCAGTTATTAGCAAGCATTGTATTCAAGAAATGTTCTAGTATGAACCATTCGGAATAGCATAAAATTACCCAACTAACAATAGGAAAGCCTGTCTTATTGCTTATTGGGATGATTTTCATCAACAGTGCAAGACCAGAAAGCATTTCCAAAATGAAGGTGGGGTAGGGGGACAGAAGAAGAAAACTGCAGGGGCCGCTGGGGCTGCCTGGGAGTGTTAAGTACTCCTCCAACATAGGGCAAGTCTGGAAATTTCTGAGAGAGCAACACGAGAACATCTTTAGAAACACAGAGGTAAGCGCCAAGAGGTCAGCTAGAGGAGTTTTGAGTTTTGAGTGGGTGAGAGAGGGAGGAGGATTAGTGATTTTTCATTATAGGCCTTTGGAACTTCTGGCTTTTAAAGCTGTACATAGTATTATTTTAATAAAAACTTAAGGCATAAATATTGAAGTGTATTATTCAGGTTCCTATTATCCCTGCTGTTTTTCAGAAGCAATAAATACAACCTGAGGCTGAAATGATAGCGCAGAAAGAAACACTAAGACGTAACAGCCTCCGTGATCCACTGCTGAAGACTAGCCAGCATGGAAATCATTGGGGAAGGCAAAGAAAATGCTGGAGAAAAGGTGGGGAGGAGGTGGAAAGAGGCTACCCAGTCCAAAGGGAGCCTGAACATCGGTAAAGGAGAAGAGCAGAGCGAGCGGTGACGGAAGGCCACTGTGGAGGAAGGAAGAAGCACTCTCTGGTCTCGGCTGAGGAGGCCTTACAGGCATCCACACACACCCTGTCCAAGGCCCGCAGACACCAGGACAAACTGACAGAGGCAAGGAAGCTGACACTCAGAAGGTGATGGCTGAGGGAGGCCAGGAGCCCAGTGCTGCCTCATAGACTGACCAGCCAATCCTATCAGCTCTGAAGATGACAGTATAACCACCTCTTGGGCTGCAAGCCCCCTGAGTAAGCAAAAAAAAAAAAAAAAAAGGTTGAGAGACTAGAGAACACCCCCGTTCCAAAAGCTACCTATTTTTACCATGACTACAGTGGTGGTTGGAGAAATAACCTCAGCACAGCTTCAGCTTGAGCCCAATGTTTCCAAGCTACTCAGACCTGGAATCTGAGAGGAAAGTGCCCCTCTAATTTCCCATCAACACTGCCTGTCACCTGAGTTCCACGACAGACCCATCCTTTCTTGGAACCGAGCCATAAGAAAAATAAAAAAGGATCAATAAGTAACGAATAGTGGTGGTGATAATGCTCTAGGAGATGGGAAAGCACCACACGAGGATAAACATGGCACTAATTGACCTTTTGTCCATGTTTTCTGGAGCCTGCAATGAAAGTGTAATGGGTTCAAGCCTTTACTACACCCTGGGTGCTTTAAACAGTAGGTCTTCTTATCAAAGATGATTCTAAATAGTGGTGTGTGGGGAGGGCCAACCTTGTGACGTACTGGGCTGGCGCCAGGTGAACCTATCACCCTTGTGTCTTTGCCTTTGGACATTTTATTCGAGGACAGTGGCAGGGCCTAGCCCTTACAGACTGTTCCCACTCTCTTGGATAACACACACAGTGATTTGGCCTTTCTAGTGTATTCCTCGAGGACTCTTCAGAAAGATCATCAACCTGTTCCTCTCCTACTGTCCCATAGGTTTCTCTCTTCGTTTTTTTTTTCAAGGCTGCCTCTGATTTTGATTCTTGCGAGTCATATTTAAGCCATGCATAAAATAGAATCAATTTTTATGTCAATGTTATCTGATGCTGCATCCCATTGCTGGTTCCGTGGTTGCAGATCCAATCTAAACTCTTCTACATAGCACTCAATCGTCCACCCATCCAGGAACCCAGTCCAGCTATGCATTCCCCAAGTATTCTGACCTGGGTTCCTATTCCAGGCAGCCACCTGATGCCAATGGCTCCTGCATTTCCCTTCCCAGCACCCCTTACACATGGACTGGCCTCTTCACTCTTTTCCCCAAGATCCCCTTTCCCAACCATTCCACATGGGCTCATGCTTTAGGGTCACCTCCAGTTCTCCCTACCAGCTGCTATCAAATCAATTCCAACTCATGGCAACCCTGTGCGTGTCAGAATAGAACTATGTGTGTGTCAGAATAGAACTATGCTCCACAGGGCTTCTGATGGCTGTGATCTTTTGGAAGTAGATTGCCAAGGCTTTCTTTTGATCAGTTCTCTCTACTATTCACAAATAAGCCATTGTTATGCTCACCCGACCAAATAAATCATCTGTACACTGCTGCTCATCAGTTTGCTGGTAGTCCTCCATTATATCAAGCTTTCAACCCCTCCATGATGTCATGAATGTGTCTTCTGTCATGAACTGAAGTGTGAGCTCACCAAGGACAGACATTAGATCTCTTCCTCTTCACTATGTGGCATGGTGCTTAAGAACTTGGCTGTTAACTGAAAGACTGGCAATTCAAACCCACCAGCCACTGTGCAGGAGACAGATGTGGCAGTCTGCTTCCATAGAGATTTACAGCCTTGGAAACTCTATGGGCAGTTCTCCCCTGTCCTACAGGGTCAGTGTG